TCCAGTGGCTTCTCTTTAAACCTACAATAGGGCGGTGCCTATGGCTCAGTGGGTAGGGTGCCAGCCCTGTATACCAAGGGCAGCAGTTTCAAACTGCAACAAAAAAATAGCCAGGCTTTGTGGCGGGTGCCTGTAGTCCCAGCTATTTAGGACACTGAGGCAAGAGAATTGCCTAAGCCTAGGAGTTGGAGGTTGCTGTGAGTGACACCACAGCACTCTACTGAGGGTGATAAAGTGAGACTCTGTCTCTACAAATAAATAAATAAACTTATAATAAAATTGGCTCAGGACCTGTGCTCAGTGGTTAGGGCGCTGGCCACACACTGGGGCTGGCAGGTTCAAACCCAGCCCCGGCCTGTCAAACAAGGACAACTACAACAATAAGAAAAAAATAGCCAGGCATTGTGGTGGGCATCTGTAGTCCCAGCTACTTGGGAGGGAGGCTGAAGCAACAGAATCACTTAAGCTCAAGAGTTTGAGGTTGCTGTGAGCCATAACACCTCAGCACTCTACCACTCTCCCGAGGGTATAGTGAAACTCTGTCTCAAAAAAATAATAATAATAAAATAAACTTATAATCAAATCCTTATTTCCTTCATGGTCATGAAGGCCCTGCATAAACGGGCTCCAGCCTTCCTCTCTGGCCTCCTTCCCTGCTTGCCTCTTTTCTGTTGAGTTGCAGGTTTGTTCTGGCCTCAGGACCCTTTGATGATCCTCTTGGGCCTGTGCCCTCTCCCTGCAGAGTGTCATGTGGCTAGGTCACTCCTCTCATAAAGGCTCCTCAGATTGTTCCTCCACTGCCCTGCTTTTTGTTACTCCTCCTTTTCCCCTCACTGGCACATTACTGTTTTCTTTGTGGCACATTAAGAAATGCGTCAAATACTCATTTCTCTCTCCCACATATATGGAGACAACTCAAAAAAGGGACTGTTCACTGCTGTTTGCCCAGTACCCAACACAGTGGCTGGCAGCAAGTGGCTTTTGCTAAATCATTGTCAACAAAGGGATGAATTACAGAACCTGGAGCTGCCATTATGAGATAACCTGTTTTCCCTTTGCAGTGTTGATGGGAACCATTTTCAGCATCCTGCTGGTGACCGTCATCCTTTTGGCATTTTGTGTCTACAAGCCCATCCGGCGTCGGTGACAGCCAAGCAAACAAGTTCTTCTACAAGTACTAGGGAACAGGATAAGTTGTGTTGCACATGGGCCAGTGGAGAAGTTGGAATCTGAACTTTCCTACTTAGAACTGACCTTTGGTTCAGATAATTGGTAAATGCTAAATGATTTAGAAAAAACATCAATTAGAAATTATTTTTTCCTAATTCTGTAATGCAAATAATAGGCCCCTGAGTCTGCCTCGCAGTGTTTTTTGTTTTTAGTTAGCTGTGCTTGTTAAAAGACCTGAAACCCAAGGTTCAGTGTAAAGATGGAGTGCTCCTAAGAAAGAAAACATAACCCTGTGTTTGTAAGAACCACACTGGAAATGACTAATCATTAACGCTTGAAAATATTAATAAGAGGAAGACTTACCACGTAGACATTCTCTATTTGAGAACCACTCAGTCACAACGGGTTAAGCATCACAAATGGTTTTCATTTCCTCTGAGGTGGGCTATAATACTCTGGTTGCAGTATCAGCATGGGGAACTTAGACCGTCTCTCCTCACCTTTATCTGGCTCTGCACACAGGTGCCCCCACTGAAGTCAGGGTCCCATCAGGTAGACCTGTTACTGCATACGCCCTTGGCCTGAAAGACTCTGGGGATGGACTGAAAGTATTATTAGTTGGCCCATCTGAAAAAGAACTCCATCCTGCTCAGACACATTGATGTCCCCCTGTTGTGTACTTAAGACCTTCCAGCCCACAGCCTAAACTTTTGGTAGCTTTTCAGATTTGGAATCTAAAAGCTCAGCAGGAGCTCCTTTCAGCCCAGGGTGGAAAGGTCTTAACCAGGAAAGTGCATGTGCTCTGTGCTGGAGTGTCTGTTTACACAGATGTAATCTCAACTTGTCAAAAGCTGCTATTATTTTGCACTGTTGGTGAACTGGATTTTTTTCCCCTATTGAAATGATACTTTTGTGCTTATAAAGTGCTTATCAATATTTATTTTCAGGTGCTTCTGGGACCTTAACTTTATTTTTAAATGGAGATGCTTATGTTCCATTCAAGCACAGCACTGATCTCTTTATTTTTGTTAACCTGTACTTAATGTGAAATAACTGATGTGGAATACTGTAACTGTTTAACTGAAGAATTTGTTTTTTGTAATGTTGAGCCATTGAAATGTTTGCTGTTTTGTGCTTTTGAGCAAAAATTGGCAATTAAAGTAAAATCACATATGTTGTTCTAGTAATTATTTCCCAGAGTGTTTGAAATGCAGGGTATGTATGTCTGAATCTGATCTAATCTCTTAGCGCTGTGAAGTGAAATTCTAAATTCATAGTGTGAAATAACACCCTTGACTCTAGGAAAAGCCATAATCCAACTCTCACGCTGGGCCAGGAGTTAGAAGACCTAGATTCTTATCCTAGCTCCAGTTGCAAAACAGGCTTAAAGTCTCCAGAGCCTCAGTTTTCTTATCTGTGTACCACATACACTGTTAACTGCTGTGAAGATGCAGTGATGTGAAAACTAATACAGATGTAAATAAATGAATCAGCACAGTTGGCCTGCCGCATAGAAGTTCATGGTTATAGCATGTGGCATTGACAGAATTCAGTCCCAGAAGCACATCCCCATCTCATCTGGAACACTGGTTTTGATGTACTGCCACAATATTTATTGCCATTTTTAGGATTTTAAATGGAAACACTAAAAATTTGCCAATCCTATAATCCTTGCCATTTGCTCAGTAATAACAGCAGTGGGCTCATATTCCAGTTTTCTGAAACAATTTTGCAGTTCCACACACAAATGTAAAATCCAGTCTAAATATTCTAATTTTATCATCTGTTTTTTATAAGATTTCATGCTAAAGACAGACAAATCTTTGTAGAAAGAGGCTTATTGCAAAGAGATGCCTAAAGATAAAAACATCAATTCTGGGAAAGAGAATTATACTAAAAATTTTATGCACCAAAGACTGGTCAACTTGTACTTTCAAGTGGAATTATTTTCCCTGGCCTTCATCTTTGGAGGCACAGGAGGAGGTGATAGCCAAACTCTAAACTTCATAACCACATTGTGCCAGTACCAATTCTGTACCCAAATGAACACATCCAATTAATTTGTATCAATCAGATAAAAATAAACTATATTAGCCAACACTAAACTTTCTTTAAAGAAGTCTTCCCATGTTGCTTGTGATTTAGGGGTTCTGGGATGTTATTAGCATGTTATATTTCTAGCTGGACCATAGTCTTAAGCCCACACATACAGAGGGTATCAAATATATATATATATACACACACATACACACACACATTTTAAGGGAAAAAAAACTATTAAATTTGTAATACTCAAGTCACATTTGACTTCTGCAATTACAAGAGGTGCTTAATTTCCGGCCAGGCAGGGTGGGCTCACACCTGAAGCACTCTGGGAGGCCAAGATAGGAGGATTGCTTGAACTCAGGAGTTTGAGACCAGCGTGAGCAAAAGCAAGACCGTTTCTACTAAAAATAGAAAAAAACAGCTGGGCATCATGGCACAGGCCTCTAGGCCCTGCTATGTGAGACGCAAGGCAAGAGGAGTGCTTGAGCCCAAGAATTTGAGGTTACTGTGAGCTATGATGATGGCACAGCACTGTATCTAAGGCAACAGAGACTCTGTCTAGAAAAAAACAAAACATGTAGTCAACTTTTGTTATCAGTATATATTATTATAATTTTAATACAGCTATTTCCTTTGTTAGGTGTATATATTTTGGGGGCACCCTCTGTATTTTTAGACTTTCAACTCCATCACCTTCACGAAGAGTCATTTGAAATTTCCATAGTTCAGTTCATCTTCCTTGACGTCATCTGTGGTGTGGTCAGCGGGAGGCTGGAACCAGGACAATTCTCTTTCCTGTCATTTTTTTTCCTTTCTTGTCATTTAGAACAGACTCTTCCACATTATATAATGTGTGGCAAGCTTTTTCACAGAGCAAAGTACCTTAGAAACTTTGTTAGCCTTAGTAACAAAGGGTTACTTACCTTTATCCTAGCAGTATCTAATGTGCAGAAGTTTCCCAATTAAAGTTCTGCTGATAAAGGAGCCACTTGTTTATGAACCTAAAGAAACTATCCAGTTGTAAACTAAATAATCCATAGATGTTGCACCTCTTGGCCTAAGAATACAAGCAGTCCCCAAGTTACAGACATCTGACTGACATACAACTTGCACTTAACAGAAGCTGTTACAGTAAATCCCTGAGTTACAAACATCAACTGATATATGACTTACACTTGATGAGCGGGGCTATTACAGGTAATAGGTAAACGTACCTGTGCCAGCTTTCATACAAATTCAACTTAAGAACAAACCAACAGAACCTTATCTTGTTTGTAACCGGGACTACCTGTAACAGTTTTCTTCATGGTGTTCTCATGGCTCAAAGTACTGGTGTTTACTTTTTGACAAAAGCAAAGCAGCTCCTTTACGTCTTTCTGGAACCCAAACATTTTTATTTGCCACTGCTCTTTGTTTTTAATACCACCATATTTAGATATAGAATGAGTTTGGACAAAGATCACCCTCATAAAGCACTCTGGCTTCAAAGGAGAGATACATTCACTCTGAGATTTGGGGTTGGCTTGGCTTCCCTTACCCAACAAGTGCCAGTCCGCCTCCAGGAAAACCAGGGAGGAGTCTCAGAGCAGACCCAACACTGGCTTGGTTTTAGTTTCCATTTGTAGCCGTGGGGTCTATAACTTCAGCCCAGGAAGGCTGAAGGCAGCATGCTACTTTGTAATCCTGTACAACAGTACTGTGACATGTTTTAATGTTCTCCTGACAGACAATAGGAGTGTGGGTGCAACCAGCAACTAGAAAAAAACATGAGAAGACTCAAAGACTGGAATATTATATGAGCACCCTAAGGAAGCAGTCTTTATTTGCATTTTAAGAGTGAACAGGTATTTGAAAAATGCTGCAACAGGTTGATATGATGCTCAGTCCCTTTTTATATGACTCCCTGGCGAGAAAATCGGAGACCTTGGGGAGCAGAGCAATGGAATGCAAACGTAGAAGTTACCTATGATTCACCATAGTGAGTAAACAACATGGCCTAACTGCAGCCATTCCCAAGAATTGTGTCTTCACACCAACAATGTTTACTTCATGTAAACAAGTAAACAAAAATGCCAAGCCGCATATTTGAAACAAATGTGAAGTTGCCTATACTGGCCTTGTGTGTACAGAAGGAATTTTGGTGAGACCATGACAAAAAAGGCAGATGGTTATATGGGATTAAAAGCACAATTCTTTTGTGTCTAGGAACATCTCACTGTCGACACTAACTGTATGATATGTTAACTGGAACAGTACTTTATGTTTCTCTTCCTATCCTAAAAGAAGCGCAACAGAGGAAACAGATGCCAAACAGAGGAGGGTATTGTTAACCGGGATATTTCAGTGCAGTCTGTGGGAATGAACACGCGGGCCAGCGTGAGTGGTGCCCTCAGCTGTATTCCACAGAGTTCTGTGTGTTGTGTGATGGTTATTTACAAGAGGGTTTGACAAAATAGTTAACTACTAAAGGTATCCAAAAAAGGCCTGAGAAAATCTGGTTAAAATGTATAACCTTGTATTGCTACTGATGGGAGTAGTTGTTTTTATATCTTTTAAAAATAATAAAAATTCTGTTAAAAAATATATTTATCCAGAAAGATGCTGAACTCTAAAAAGCAATGTGGAATCATTTTCCCTTTAGAATGAAGAGCCAGTGAACTCTGTTTTAAGCTCCTTTTCTAATTTCAAATCCAGCTTTCCTCTCAAGTAAGACTAGGCATGCAATGGAGTTTTCCTAGGTTTTTACATGGAAATCCTTCACTAGGGCAGGCGTAGAACAGGTTTGGTTGTAGGCTGTTCTAGTACTTTGGCTAGCTTGCCCACTTCAAGAACAAGCCTCAGATTCCTCTAGCTCAGTGGTTCTCAACCTGTGGGTACGACCCAGGAACTGTATTAAAGGGCCACGGCATTGAGAACCACTGCTCTAGCTGCTCCTTCAGACAGGATTAGCTGCCTTTGATTTAGCCAGAAGGATCCTGCTTTCAAAGGAATTGCCTTTATAAGTTCAAATCAGATCCCTCAATAAGTGGAGTGAGGTGGTTTGAAACAATTAGTAATTTTTAAGGCTAAGGCAACAGCCACGGTCATTTGTATATCTTAATTTGATGCAAATAGTTAATCATAATCTAAAATAGATACTGTACATATCTCCTCTTTAACTTCAGCTGGGGATGGATGGAAGGAATGGAATAATACGGAGATGGAGGAGGGAATAATGACAATGTCCTAGAAACCCTGTATAAAGGTAAAAATAAAGAGTAGATCAACACAGATTACCCATTTCTTTGGTGAACAGTAAAGAAATGCCTCAAACTCTCATAAACCACACTCTACTGCTGCCGCTTCTCTCATATATAAAAGCACCCTGACTCTGCAATAACTTGTTATCACTCCTTAATAAAAATGTATCTACAAACTTGCAGGGATTGGGGTTTTGTCTAAAGCTGGTAGTAAAAACGTGACCTGCAAGCCAATACAGCTAATGGAAAGTGACAATGCTCTCTTCCCCGTGGCCTAAAGATAGGGCCTGCCAATCCCAGGCCCTTCACCCTGGGGAGCGTCCTGGGTGAGCCTAGGAATCCCTGGTTCTGCACCTGGGTAAAGAAGGGGCAGCTGCCATCTGCTGCACACACGAGGTGCAGGCCCTTAGCCCTGGGGCCCTGGTTGCCAACATCCATGGCAACCCAGAGCCTCTGCTTTGTGCAGCCTATGGGCAGAAATGTCTACTTGTCAGTGAGTGACAGCTGTAAGACTTGCTGGAGCTCAGCCTCTTCCTCCTGGAGTCGGAGCTCCTGTTCCTCCAGCTCTTTGGCAGAGAGCTCCATGGCTAGCTGCAAGTCACTATCAAAACTGCTCATATCAGTTGGGGCACCAGAGCATGGGCCTTCAGTGCTGGTGAGGAGGCTCTCCTGGATGGCCCTAGGTTGGAAAATGGGAAAAAATAAGACAGTCATTATTATTATAACCATGGCGCAGCAGCAGCAGCTACTTTTTCTTAATTGCTTACTAAGTGCACATAGTGCCAGATACTTTACATGCACAATGCCATTTAATACTACATAGCTCTGGGGTAGGTGCTGTATACAAATGAGAAACCAAAGGCTCAGGGAGGTTAAGAAACCTGGCCAAGATGACACCACTACTAAGTGATGGAGCTGAACTTTGATATGTTTAAAAGGAAAACCCAGGTTCTTCATCAACCCATTCTCACAAATGCCTAAAGTATAAGAAGATGGTTTGTAAGATGAATCTTGAGTTCTTCTTCTTTTTTTTTTTTTTGAGACAGGAGCCTCAAGCTGTCCCCCTGGGTAGAGTGCCATGGCATCACAGCTCACAGCAACCTCCAACTCCTGGGCTCAAGCGAGTCTCCTGCCTCAGCCTCCCAAGTAGCTGGGACCACAGGCGCCCGCCACAACGCCCGGCTATTTTTTGGTTGCAGCCATCATTGTTGTTTGGTGGGCCCGGGCTGGATCTGAACCCACCACCTTAGGTGTATGTGGCTGGCGCCTTAGCCACTTGAGCCACAGGCACCGAGCCAAGTTGTCCTTCTTTAAAAAAAGATAATCTAATCATCTCTGTGGATTTTCCTCAAAATTTCCCATATTTATATATAAACTTCCCACTGAAGACATTTATACTCTGTGATCATCTCTTCATAGAAGAACAAACCAATCAGAAAACATTGGTGCTTTTCTCCCAATGGTGCTGACCTATGAACTAGGCAACAGTTCTATCACTCATTCCTGGACACTGGTTATGGAAAGTTCAGACCTATTTTCATGAGTAACTGCTACAACAGGAAGCACAGCACCACACAACTGCCTAGGGACCAAACACATGGCACAGTGCATGTGCCCATGTATTGAGCACCTGTGTCAACCTCAATTTAACAAAGTTACATCAATCACCTCTCAAACTGGTCTTCATAGGCATGTGTCTGGCTGATCCCACCATTTGAAGCTGGTCCTAGAAGTTCCTAGCAAAAAAAAACATGATAGACATGAATACCTCTTAGAAGGAATGGGTTCCCTACTGATGAGGAAACAAAAGCAGCAAGGGCAAAATTTAAAACATTTATGTGCTAGGCTTGGCGCCTCCTGTAGCTCAGCAGCTAGAGCGCCAACCACATACACCAGAGCTGGAGGGTTCGAATCCAGCCCGGGCCTGCCAAATAACAATGACAACTACAACCAAAGAAATAGCTGGGCATTGTGGCAGGTGTCTGTAGTCCTAGCTACTTGGGAGGCTGAGGCAAGAGAACCACATAAGCCCAAGAGTTTGAGGTTGCTGTGAGCTGTGACATCATGACATTCCACAGAGGGTGACATAATGGGACTCTGTCTCAAAAAAAAAAAAAAATTTATGTGCCCATTATTGATAGTGCTGTGTAAAGAACCAATAGGGACTTGGGTTACCTTGCAAACACCACCTACATGTCAGATAGTATGACATATGCCACAGCCTGACTCACAGCCATACTATGAGTCATACTTTTCATACTTTCCACAAAATCACTCTATTAAAAACAGCTCACCTTGTGCAGAGTTTAAATGACGAAAGCAGGCAATTCTTTTAGGGCAAGATTAGAAGACAATCCACTATTCATAGTCTTTGACTTTGACTACTCTCCTTAGCAAACTTATGATCAAACAAGGCTTATGTAGATACTCGGGGGAAGAGATAAGGTCACTGACATTGGGAAAGGGAAAGCATACTGAGCTGACAGTGATGCCCAGGGTGGGGTCTTCTCCCAGGAGGCCTCCCAAAGGGACTATGCCTGCTCCAGGGTTTGGCTCTCAGCCTAGCAGCCTCAGAAACCAGAATGGGTCTGGGAAGGGGTCCATGATGGTGGCAAGGCGAAATGAAGGAGGGTACTCAGATCACCCAAGCTCTGAGACTCAAGGACAAAACCAGAAAGCCATAGCCTGAGCCAGTGGGGATGCTAGAGTGTGGGTACTATTCTCAAAGCTTAGCAGCCCTGTAAAAGCAGGGGTCAGGGCTGCATCACCAAAGAATTCCCAGTGCCTGACAAAAATCAGACACTCTGCAAATGGCTGCTGAATGAATGATAGAAAGAGAAAAAACCAACAAAGCAATAAACAGACACACCAGAGTCTGTGTCCAGACTCCAGAGGCAGATCAGTCCTCAACTTAGTAGAGCCAAGAGCACAGGAGGGAAGGGACAGTGTTCTATTGGGGAAAGAGGACCTCAAGTCTTGGATTGTAGATAAGGCCTGGAGGGAGAACAATATAAAAGTTGACTGTTCTGTTGGGCAGGGTGGTGTGCCCTATAGTCTCAGCCATTCAGGAGGCTGAAGCGGGAGGATTACTTGAGCCTGAGAGTTCAAGACTGAAGTGAGCTATGATTATACCAGTGCACTGCAGCCTGGGCAACACAGTGAGACCCCATTTCAAAAAAAAAAATAAGTAGCTCTTCTTACACAAGTCTGTTCTGTCCTTACCTCTGCATTTCACTAGAGACACAGAGTTTAAGGAGATGATACCCCCTGGGGAGGGAGTTGGGATTAAAATCCACATAACTACTTTCATCTGAGGCTACCAACCATGGATAATCTTCCAGAAAAAATATGATAGTATGAATTAACATGAATTTACTGCTTTAGTACTAGAAAATTATAAAGCACAACTTGAGCTACATGGGTGAATATGAATAAAAACAAAGTCTATCTGAAGATATCCTGTGACTGGTGCTGACGGGGTTATGCAGATGGTCTCTTACATAACAAGATTTTGTGAAGAGTCTAGGTGCATAAAATATAAAAATTATCTGAGTAAATGCCGTGAGTGTGCCAAACTTGTTCTTTAGAATAAGTCTTCTACTTTAGCCCCAAACAGGCCAAACTAGAAGGTGTGCCCTCCCAAGCCTTACCATGTATTCTGACAACACACCTGACTCCTATTGGACTCCAGCAGGCTCTGCTGGATGGCAAACTGCATTATCTCATAATCTTCATCTTGCAAATGCACATTTCTGCCATTGTCTTGAATGTGGTAAGATTCAGGAATTTCAAACACAGACTGATCGACCTCAAAGTTTGTGACATGGGAAGCTGAAACACAAAAGGCATCCAGTGTCTGAGTTATTACAATTAATTTCTACTCCAACTTTTTAAATTTTTTCTTTTTTTTTTTTTTTTTAGACAAGAGTCTCAAGCTGTTGCCCTGGGTTGAGTGCTGTGACATCATAGCTCACAGCAACACCTCTAACTAGGGCTCAAGTGATCCTTCTTCTTCGGTTTTTTCTATTTTTAGTAGAGATGGAAGTCTTGCTTTTTTGTTCAGGTTGGCCTCGAACTCATGAACTCAAAACTATCCACCTGCCTTGGCCTCCCGGAGTGCTAGGATTACAGGTGTGAGCCACTATGCCCAGCCAATACTTTTTAAATTTAAAAAAAAAAAAAAAGAAGAAAGGACCCAATTGATAATAAAGTTTGTGATTATGTGAAAGATTATGAGAGAGAATAATGATAACAGAAAAAAATACACAAGTATGGCCTTTTCTTGGCCTTGTTTTAGTGAAAAAATAATATAAAGTACAGAATGTGTAAAATGAAAAGTGAAAACTTCTCTCCTTAGTCCATCCTTACTGTGAGTATGCACGTTTAAACATATACACAGTCACGCCAATGTGTTTTTTTCCTTTTGTTTGTTTGTTTTAGGGGGACTTTGGGGAGACAGAGTCTCACTCTGTTGCTCTGGACTAGAGTACCATGGCCTCAGCCTACCTCACAGCAACCTCAAACTCCTGTGTTGGAGCAATCCTCCTGCCTCAGCCTCCTGAGTACCTGAGACTACAGGCCTCGCCACCATGCCCAACTAGTTTTTCTATTTTTAGTAGAGATGGGGTCTCCCTTTGCTCAGGCTGGTCTTGAATTCCTAAATTCAAAGGATCCTCCCACCTCAGCCTCTCACATTGCTAGGATTACAGGTGTGAGCCACCACATCTGGCCTATTATTTCCTTTTGTATTATGTAGTATGGTAAACATATAAAAGAAAGTATATAAAATATCTGAACACTTACAAGAAAAATGACAATAAAAACAAATGCCTGTGTACTAAAACACAGAATACTACAAATACTACACCCCAGTTATACCCACTTCTTAACAATGTCCCTTCCTCCTCTCTAGAGTTAAATATACAATGCAGAATAGTGCTTTTCACTATCTAGTAGCTCTTCTCTGGAGTTGCGTCATATGTATATAATTTTAATAGTTTGGTTTAGCTTGTTTTTGAATTCAACACAAATGCAGTTATCACTGTTGTTTAGCTGGCCTGGGCTGGGTTCGAACCTGTCAGCCTCGGTGTATGTGGCCGGTGTCCTACTCACTGAGCTACAGGTGCCAAGCCTCAACATTAGGTTCTGAAATTCACTTAGATGTACATGGCAGTGCATTTTTATCTTTATCACTGTGTGTCATTTCATTGTATTAATACAGCACAATTAGCATATTCTACAATCTCAGGACATATGGGTAGTTTCCAGATTTCTGCTGTTATGAATGATGCTACTGTCCCTTATTGGGATCTCCAGATACCCACATGTACAAGTTTCTCTCGGGTACATACTAGGAAGTGCGAAGTCACAGGGTATACACATGTACAATTTACTAAGTAATGTCAATTTTTTTTTCAATAAATTATACCAATTTATTCTTCCTTGCAAAAATAGATAAGTATTCTTTTGCTGCACAATCTCACATACACACATTACCCAATTTTATTGCTACTAGGGAGTGTAAAGTTGTATATAGTTGTTGAGTTCAATTGTTTCTATTTGAAGTTTTAATTTACATATATTAAAATGCTACCTTTTAACTCCTTATACTGGAAGACTAAAGAAGAAAAACTATAGGATCAATAGTTGCATAAAAAGCATTTGACAAAAATCAATACTTAATACCAATAGAAACTCTCAGCAAACTAGGAATATAAGAAAAGCATCTCCTCAACCTAATAAAGGATATCTACAAAAAAACTGACAGCTAACATCATAGCTAATGATGAAACACCCATTCTTCCCTGAAATCGGGAACGATGCAAGGATGTCTTTCTTACCACCTTTATTCAGCACTGTACTGGACATCCTAGCTAATGTAATAAGGCAAGACAAAGAAATAAAAAGTTTAAAGATTGGAAAGGAAAAAGTAAAATTGTCTTTATTTACAGACATAATCATGTCTGTAAGAAATTCTAAGGAATCTTCTAAGTCAAATGAATTTAATAATGTTACAAGATACAAGATTAAAATATAAAAATAAGTATTTCTATATTCTATTAACTGGAAAATAAAATTAATAAGTCAATTTACTTATTTAATAAGTCAATAGCATCTAAAAGCATGTATTGGATTGATGGCAAAGGAACATGTGGAAATTTGGGGGCATTTAAAAATGCTCTCCATCTTGATTGTAGTGGTAGTTATATGATGCATGTGTTGAAATGTATGGGAACTGTCACACTTAAAATGGGAGCATTTTATGTATGTTACACCTCAATAAAGTTGATTTTTAAGAACATGCTGTCTTTGCTTTTTTTGTTTTTTAAAGACAGAGTCTCACTTTGTTGCCCTCGGTAGAGTGCTGTAGCATCACAGCTCACAGCAACCTCCAGCTCTTGGGCTTAGGTGATTCTCTTGCCTCAGTCTCCCAAGTAGCTGGGACTACAGGCGCCCGCCACAACGCCCGGCTATTTTTTGTTGCAGTTTGGCCAGGGCCAGGTTTGAACTCACCATCCTTGGTATATGGGGCCAGAGCCCTACCGACTGAGCCACAGGCACCACCCAAGAACATGCTATCTTTTTAATACAAGAAGAATCATACCTACTCTACAAATTGTTTTTCACTTAATCTAAAATAAATCAAAAATTTTCTTTTACCCACAAAACACAGAGATCTGCTTTGTAAGATACTCCAATTTCAAACTGAATAATTAGTATAATGATTGAACATATGAATATTTTTTAGCACACAGAAAATTTTTTTACCTGAATTGGCCTGCGCCCCATCCACATTTTGAGATACAGTTTCTTCAGCAGTGCTACAGCCATTAACATTCCCAAATGTAATCCGTGCATTTAAGACATGAAACAAGGGAATTTCTAACAAAATAAAAGCTTTCATAAGTAAATTTTACTGAGAATAATATTTACTGAGTGCTTACTATGCTAATACTATGCCAAGCACTTTTTATAAATATAATTTCATTTAATCCCCATAACCACCCTCCCCAATATACAGATTCGAAAACTGAGACTAAGAGAGTTAAACATTTTCTCCTAGATCTCAAGTGAGTAAGTGACTAAGCCAGGATAGGATTCAAGTGTCATAAATATGAAATCATCCAAAATTAAAATTCCTCATGAGTAGTATGTATTACATATAGCATTTGCATACTAGTTTGGATTCTAAAACATATTTAAGTATCAAAGGATCTTGGTGTCAATTGTCTTCCTCAAATTAAGTATCTAGTTTGAAGTTTATATCTGTCAGTACTATTTGTAAATAGAACTGATGGTTGACGACCTCTTAATTTTGTTATGAAAAATAAGCCAAGAACATATTTCTTCAAATCAAATTAAACCAGAGGATAATTTTGGCCTCCTCTATTAAGTCTATTACATGCTACTTTGTGCTCAAAGTGCTCCAATTCCCTGAAGCACATTCTTCCACCCACAAAAACAGGCAGAACCTACAAGTGTTGCTGAGGTCTATTTAACAGTACCTATTTTGACAGGAAATCCAGGTGGGAATTCTAATTTGATGAAATCTCTCAATCTTGCAAAATGAGCACTAGTTCGAGCCATTAGGTCAATAATGGGAATGACCTGTTCCACGAGAGAGAGAGGAAATTCTTCACACATCCATAGTGTTGCTTTAAACCTGCAAGATTCAACCAAGAAAAGACTGAGTCCTCATCTACCAGACGGGAAAAGGATATTAATGCTCTGCAATAGGCTAGAGAGCATCAGCCTGCTTATTCTACACTCTCCCCAGTGAACTCTTAATTCAGAGCTATTGCGGATCTAGAACAGTGTTTCTTGACCTTTTTTATCTCACAGCATATGTGAACCTATAGTTAAACTTCTGTGGCACACTTAAATTATGTGGATCAAAAAAAAAAGTAAAGGCCAGGTGCAGTGGCTCACACCTGTAATCCCAGCACTAGGGAGGCAAAGGTGGGTGGACTGCCTGAGCTCATAGGTTTGAGACCAGCGTGAGCCAGAGCAAGACCCTGTCTCTAAAAATAGCTGGATGCTGTGGTGGGCGCTTGTAGTCCCAGCTACTCAGGAGGCTAGGGCAAGAGAATCACTTACGCCCAAGAGTTTGAGGTTACTGTGATCTATGATTCCACGGCACTCTACCAAGGTTAACAAAGCAAAACTCTGTCTCAAAAAAAAAAGTGTTAAAAAAAAGAATATATTTACTGTACTTTGAACTTATTTCAAAAATAATTTATGGGGCAGCACTTGTGGCTCAAGGAGCAGGGTGCCGGCCCCATGTGCTGGAGGTGGCAGGTCAAGCCCAGCCCTGGCCAAAAACTGCAAAAAATAATAATTTATGATCTTTAAAAATTTTTGCAACACACCTAAGATCCTCTCATAGAACACCAGTGTAAAAACCACTGGTCTAGAACTACAAGGAATTCAGCTCACCCTGAAATCTGGCAATCAGGGGAAATGACCTACACTACAACTTGCCACTGGATCAGCCTTAAATGACAAGCTAGAAGACATTGATAGCTGGTGGAAAACATTTCATTTGATCAGCTGAAGCTTGTTGACAGTTAAAAAAAATAACGAATTTCTACAAGCAATCTCTATTCTATTTGGAAAAGGGCTAATAACATGAGCGATCTAGGCTCGGCTCCTGTAGCTCACTGGTTAGGGCGCCGGCCACATACACCGGGGCTGGCAGTTTGGAACCCAGCCAGGGCCTGCTAAACAACAATGACAACTACAACAACAACAAAAAATAGCCAGGCCTTGTGGCAGGTGCCTGTAGTCCCAGCTACTTGGGAGGCTGAGGCAAGAGAATTACTTAAGCCCAAGAGTTTGAGGTTGTTGTGAGCTGTGGCACCACTGCACTCTACCAAAGGTGACATAGTGAGACTCTGTCTCCAAAAAAAAAATGAGTGATCTACTGTTAGCTTTCATAGCATAAAGTAATTTAAACATTATTTTTTTGAAAAAGGGGCAGAGGAACAACCAAACATAAACAGCATAAAACAGCAAGACTTCTGAAATAATCCATGAGTTGAAAAAGGCAGCTGAATCTCTCTTACTTCTGAGTTCTAATCGTCAGCTCTTTTGGCCTTCCGATGTCCCTGTCTTTCAGATCAAACTCTTCGTTGAAGTACTCATCAGGTGTGATAGCTGTGGGGTTGTTTGCGGTGGCACATTCCGTAGTAAGGTCCTGCCAAGCCAGAACTCAGGAGAGTCAGAAATGCCAAATGATGTTCACAAGTGGAGGCCTGCCACACTCAGTCTGTGAGGTAGACATGTTAACCAGCTACAGATCAGGAAGCTTCAGTCATTAACTTCTTTTTATTAAGTGACTGCACAGAACAAGAAAACCTACAAAGTGCCACCAAACTCCATAGCAAGTCTAAGGATTTCTCCACTTTAAAATATTTCCCCACTCTTCTTTACATTTTTCTCTCCTGATTACACAAGAGAGAAAGAAATACCTGAAAGCACATGAGATTTGGAAGACTTCAAGTTCCAGCTCTGTCACTGTGTAACTTTGACAATGAAAAGGTAATTTCATTTTTCTGACCCTCAGGGACACCCACTACATCAATTTCATATAATTATCATGAGAATCAAGTAAGAAAATGTTTGCTAAGGTGCTCTGTTAACAATATAAAATCCTGGGCGGGGAATGTGGTTCAGTGGGTAGGGCGCTGGCCCCATATACCAAGGGTGTCAGGTTCGAACCCGCCCCGGCCAAACTGCAACAAAAAATAGCCGGGCATTGTGGCAGGCACCTGTAGTCCCAGCTACTCAGGAGGCTGAGGCAAGAGAATTGCCTAAGCCTAGGAGTTGGAGGTT